AAATCAAAAAATGTGAAATTTCAGTTTAATCTGTTTAAAAGAAATTGTTTTTCCTCAAAAACTGAAAAAAGCACATAAGTTAATTTAAAAATTTAATTTTGGGATTTTTACCTTTAGAATCTTAAAGTATGCAATTTAAGACGATTTTTCGTCCAAACCTGACCTCAATATCTTGTTTCGTTCGAAAGATATCGAGGTTCACAGGTTTTGACTTCCACCCCCCCTTGCGCCCCCCCCCAAAAATTTTTTGGGGGTCTGAAAATTTGGGGAAAGAAGCGCTCCAGTATTTGTAACTGATAGACGAAGTTTGAATAAGTTTTAGTGGGGGGGGGGCGAAAAATGTCGTTTTTGCATACGGCTCTTTCGTGTTAAATGGAAACTTAAACTGTCCCTTTTCCTTCTAATTTTAGTTTTTGTTTACAGATGTGCTGTTCACTTGACACGGCGAATTCTTTATTTTTGCCGGCAAGCCCAAGTCTTAACCAGCAGAATCAATTTACTTTCCCATTGTAAGTACAGCTTTTCACTTCCCTAAATTGAAGAAATTTTTGGTGCTGACGTATGATGTTTCATTGAAAATTTTTATAAATTAGTTTTATTTAATAATCATTGGAAGAGACAATTTTTATCATGTCTTACCGATTTTTTTTGTTTGCCCCCCCCCCCTTCAATGATTAAACTGCTGACAAGGGGGAAGGGAGGCTAGAAAGTCATAATTTGCTCAGTTTTTTACCTTAATCCACGCGACGCCCATTCAACTTGGCGAAAACCCTGAGCGAATCGACTTAATAAGTGCTGTCAATGCAACTGCCTGTATCACTGCAGAGCCCTTAACTAATGCTCTCTTCGTGTTTCTAGGTCTCCAAATCCGAATCAGTCCTTGCTGTCCATGTCGCAGCAGCAAACGCACCCGCTGACTTACCTGCAGAATTCCCAGCCATGGCCGAGGGACAATTTTAGCCGCGGTAAGTCTGGTTTTACTTGGTGGACCTTCAGGCTAGGCGAAAATTTAAGCATTATTCGTATTTCACGTAAACACAATTCGTGCAACGCAAAATTACCAACATGAACTCCCAACTAAGATCTACAACGTTATTCGATGCGTAAATTCGAAGATCCCAAGTGGCAGTGATCGTGATAAGTTGCGATATGATCGGATAATATATCGCGGTTTTATCGACTTTGATTTTATTGCAATATTATCGGTTATTAAATTGCGATTTCATCGTTTTTGCAATAAAATTGCAATCTCATCGACTGTGATTTATGGCATTCTCATCGAACAAAAAATTGTGAAAAATTGAGATAAACTTTCGATTTTAAAGAGATAAAATAACGACAAGATTGAAGGTTGATGATTCTACCGATTTTATCGTTAAGAAATTGCAACAAGATTGAGGGTTGATGATTCTACCAATTTTATTGTTAAAAAAAGCGCAAATTAATTTTAAACTATCGGTATTTTTCCCTTGAAAACGGAAACCCAAAGGAATTCGATCGCATTTCCTTCGATGCCGCCCGCCTTTGGAACCGATTTGCGAGCCTTTAGTGCCGCATACGTAGACCATGTGAGAAATTAAATTTTTAAGATGAAAGTTTTTGGTATCACAAGTGATACAACGCCAAATAAACGCCAAATGGCAAAGTTAAATCGAAAGGATCTACACGAAAAAAACACACCAGCGGCTGGTTAAAAATGCGCCAGCTACCGTGTGGTAGTTACGATAACTACCGCAGTAGAGGACACAACTGACCCGGTAGTTACATCTACCATGGTACCTATTTTTTACCGTGTACTGTTATTTTTCCTTTAATTTAACGCTTTTCTTTCTTCTGTTTCAGGTTCTACCTTCATGTAACTCCTTGACCGCACCCTCGTTCCACGTTTTTATTCTGCCGACATTTTTCGGCCTTGCATTTTTCAGATTTTTTACTGTCACTTTTTTACAATTTTCACTCGTTTATCTCAATATTTGCTTCGATGTTTTTATTTTAAGTACGTTTACTACATTTTTACTACTTTTAACCTCGTTTTCTACTTTGAAGGATGTCTTATTTTTTAATTTTTTGCAAATACTTTAATACATAAGAAGCTTCGTCGCATGTTTTTTTCGGTGCGAGTTGTGGATTGTGTTTGAATGAAAACTTTTTGATGTCATAAGAGACAAGTGGCAGGACGCACGAAAGTTCTATATCCGTGACTTCGTCATGTCGTAATTTTTTATCGCTGCATGCTCGCATGTTGCCAATTTTTTAAGTTCAGTCAATAAAAATTTAGAGTTTACCAGGCGTCCTGAATAAGTTCATGTCATAAAAAAATGTGTAAATTAAAATCGCTTGTTGTCCATCGCGAGAAGGGCGCCAACTGTTGCATGACATAATAATATCCAATCTTTGAGGCACATGCTACAATCTATTGCTCCTCTCACCCTAATCTGGAGTTTTTTTTTAAATTCAGTACATGCAATTTTGCATTTTACAGCGTTCTGCGAATGTTCATAATTGATCAGAAAAATTTCATCCTTCCCTGTAACTTTAATTTTCTGAATGGATCTTGACCGTCTAATTTTAAAATTTATAAATGTGATTAAACCGCAGTAATTTTCATTCTTAAGTGCCAGCAAATAATTGCCAGAAAATTTCTTAAGTCCTTGACCCTGTTTTAATCAGTAAATGGAAAGATATCGCCACATTAATACAAGATGTCCCCATCAATCGACTCAACAATTAATTCATTAATAATTCTGCCCCTTAAAGTAAAAAAAAAATGATTAACCCTGTAATAATTGTAAAATTCTGAATTAAATTTATCTAAGATACATTTTTATAAATCCAGTAAAAATACGATTCATTAAAAATAATTATTCTGCTCTTCTAAAATTAGAACTTAACAGAAACAAGAATAAGTCATAAAAAAAGAAATCTTATACAGCTTGTTTTGGAATCTGATTTGCATGCCTGCCACCATGCAGCTTTGAAAAATTAGTTCCTCCATTTTGAATCCTTTTTAAAGTTTATTAACTGAACCATGTTCGTCAAGTAATTTTGCCCTCGTCTTGAAAAATACCATGGATCCATTTTTCGATTTCTGATTTTAAATTTAACTCCCATCATACCCAGATCAATTGAAATTTCAGCAGCCTGACCAGCCACTAGTATCTTAATCACTGTGTTACAAATGACATGACATCAAAATATTTACGAATGCATTAGAAGGAAGCTTTGGCTTTCGCACACGTTTTCATTCAATCGTTCAATTATTTACACATTCCTTTGTTTTCACGGTGACAATGCCCGTAATTTATCGTTTAGCATCTGTTTACTATTTATTATCTCATTGATTTATATGTATTCTCTTTTTTCTCATAGCTTCTAAACTAAGCAATTTTTAATATTTTGCTTTTAATCGCTCTTTTGTACTACGTTTTAAATTTTTATAACATATATATTTAATTTTATATAACAAAGAAGGACTCAAACTTCGTCTAAACTCTGCTCTCTGACTTTATTTTGTCTTTTTTTAACAAATAAATCCGTCAATTTTCAATCACTGTGTTCGTAATATGTGTCTCCTAAATTTTTATACTAGTTTCCTAAGTTGAAGAAAAAATGTCCTCTATTCACTTCGCTTCCTAGGTAGTATTTTATTCTCTGAAAGTATTGGTTTTTCGCAGTTTTCCCTTTTTAGATATGAACGTTCCAACCCTAGATTTGGCTGATTATTTGCCATATTTTATCATGAATATACATTGTACAGGAAATTCACATTGAAATTAGTTCCAAAATGTAGTCCAATTTATCCTCTCTGCTCAAAGAATCATTTCATTTCCTGGTGAAGTACGCAAGATAAAAAACGAGAGAATGCCCCCTCAATCAAAAACCTCTTTCATTAATTAATTTTTTTATTTCAAATTAATTTCAATCAGAACTGTGTGAAGAACCGCGGTATTTGTTCAGCACGAAACTACCAGGGAAGAACACCGAAGAGCCTTCAAATGTTGCTATATTTCATTCAATAAAAAAACGAATTTACTCGGAAAATTCTGAATATTTTTCTCCGATTTTTCAAGTAATTTTGTTCACATTTTCCTTGAAAATATCTGACAATTTCGAGGGAAAATATGCCTAACTTTTCGCAAAAATAAACATTTTATCGAAGGAAATTCGGCAACTCTCGAATGTCGATATACGATTCCGCCTACGGCGGCACACAGTGGATCGAGTCAGTCATAGAGGTCAGACATGAATTTTTTAACTAAAACTGCAAATTTTGATGTTTAATTCGTCACATTTTAGTTTATAAGGGGTGCATCTGGAAGAAAATTTAACGAGAAAACCAATGGAGCCTCTATTAAAACCTCAAAGTTTCGTATGAACGAAGTTAAGAGATTTTCAAGTTTCCAAATTTTGTCCGACCTCCCCCAATGACTCGATCCACTGTGCGACAGAGCGAACCTCTCATTCCTAAAAAGTTAAAACAGATGGGGCAGATTGATTGAAGACCAAGTACTAACATAATATATATTTACAGTAAACTATTTACAAGTGGGCAAGATAACTTGAAGTATTTACAAAACAAATTGGATGGATTTACTGAGAGTTGGCGGCGGGCGAAACATGACTGGAGTCCCCGTTATTGCTTTCGTCCACTTCGCTGTCCCTGTCCACATCGGTGAATTGAGGCTGCGTCTGCGGATTAAGATGTCCGAATTGTCTTTGGAACAGGTGCGACCTTTGATTCAAAAGCGCCAGCCGTTGTTGTTGTCTCTCTAAGTGTTGCTTACGCCATTTTATCCGTCTGTTTTGAAACCATACCTTCACCTAAAACGTGTCGTAATGGATTAATGGTCTATGGTATGGGTTTCATATTGGTTACAATACATCATGACCCTTCTTTTTATGACGGAAGCTCGAAAAATTGAAATGTTTTTCAAAGTTGCCCCATGTAACAGAGTTTTCAAAAATAGAAATTTAATAATGGAAATGTTTTTCAAAGTTGTCCCATGTGACAGAGTTTTCAAAAATAGAGATTCGATAGTGATGAATGGCAATGGGCCTGTTGCAAGATGCGAGGATTTGCGAATTGCTGACTGATTTCAAAGGCTTTTTCGAAAAGAACGATGGCGGTGTTAAAAAATCTTGAAATAACTGTTTCTTTTCCACGGGAACGGATCTGGTACACTCGTGACGTCAAATAACATGACAAACCTAGTCTCTTCATCAAGCGGATGCACATTCCTTTTGGAGAAAAACATTTTTCACTATGAAGAGACCAGGGATGTTATGCATTGTGACACCACGAGTGTACCGGATCCGTTCCCGTGTGAAAGTGGTCGTTATGAATATCCGAATTTTGGAGCGTTTTTAAGTTCATTTTTGGGGGTTTCCGGTGGTCAAAAAACTCCACGAACATTCCTGTGACATTAGGATCTTTAGTTCTTTAAATACTAGCAATAAAAAAATAGCGCAACGAGCCCAATAAGCAGCTATTAAAAATTCAAAAATTGGGTGGCGAAAATAGTTTGGGTATGTTGGGTGACAATTATTTTTGAATAAATGGAATGAGTGTTAATCATTATACTGCTTACCTGGGCCTCTGTCAGCTGGAGGGCATGTGCTAAGTACAATCTTTCTGGACCAACCATGTACTGTTGTCTTTCAAATTCAGCCTCTAATCTCTCCAGTTGCTCCGGGGTGAAAATTGTTCGCACCCTCTTTGATTTTCCGCCCTTAATTTTGATGCTTCCCGATCGTTCGACTATAAACAAAAAAATCAGAAAAAAATGATCGACTTAATCGAAATGGAGTATTTAATTTCAAAGATTCAGCTGAAAAGTTCACGTTGCGTCCATGCAACAAAATAGTTCAGCGACTTTGGAATAGAAGAGAATAGATCCGGCGTCTTTAATCTGCCGTGTCAAGTAAAAACGCCGCAAAAGTATTCAAATGATGCAAAATTTTCTCTCAGAAAAGTTATGTTTGAAGGAAGTTATGAATATTTTTCCTTACCATTTTCAGACTTTTCAGATCAAATTACGAACGAAATCCTCGGAAAAATCGAGAAAGAAACATTCATAAAGTTTCCTGTCATTTCATGGTTTTTTGAAAGAAATTTGGCAACGCATGAAGGCCTATACGGCGTTCTTCCATGGCACGGCAGTACTGTATCATGTAGTCGATATAAGGCATCACTGCTTTTGTGGGCCGAACCCCCAATTTACCCTGAACCATCAAATCTATTCGGCGAGTAGGTAATACTCCAGGCCCGGACTAGCTACAAGGCAAATCTGTCATTGGCAGAGACGCGCCTCCCTGAGGGATGGCAAAATGAGAAGAAAAAGCAAATTATGACCGAGAAAAAATTCGGAAAATTCGTGAATGAACGGGAGAAGAGTAAGTAAGAGTAAAGAAACCTACAAAAAAGGACAAGAGCAAGGGAAGCATTGGAAAGGACGCTCCTTGATGACGGCGTAGAGATACAACTATTCGTACTTGATGCATGCCCGCATTGCATCTGCAAAATTGAAGGCGCGATGGCGCGAGGCTTGAACTTCCAATGCTCCGCTCAACGCTGCCGATAAGGTGTCGCTCAGATTCGGGGGAAAAGTTAAAAACGAGGCCCAAATACGTTTCTCCTATTTACTGATGTGTTGCTCATGTAGCCTTCGAAGCACCACAACAAATACAAATAAGACAAACGGAAGCAAACAAACAGCACGGAAATAGAGCAAGAGAAAGGGGCGCGTAGATGACGGCGCAGAGAGACAACTATTCGTACGTGATGGATGTCCGTGTTGCATGTGCAAAATTGAAGGCGCAATGGCGCGAGGCTTGAACTCGCAATGCTCTGCTTTGAGCAGCCAAAAGAGGTGTCGCTCTAATTCGAGAGAGTTAAGAAACGAGACCCAAATACATCTCTCCTATCTTCGGCTGTGTTGATACTCAATTTTTTTCTTGATTTGCGAATGTAATGTCAGATTCTCTTTTAACGATGTACATTGATTTGGCCAAATATTCTGGACCCCTCTCCATTTCGGGGATGCCTCCACACCCCCTGGGCGAAATACCACATTACGATCCCTTCATACCCGGCTGAGGGTCTACGCCCTTGAATGTGAGCCAGTCTGGCTCTGTAATACTCTGTCATTAATGCACTACAACATGCATTAATGCAATGTACATTTTTTGGGGCACCGCAAATCCTCTTGTTCTCCTTCATTTTTTTCACGCCAGTATCTGCAAAAATTGACCCAAGTCATGCGGCACAAAAGGGCAAAACTGCAAAAATGGATTTTTTTTTTTTCATGCGATAACGATTTCAACATTCCAAGTTATTTTATTTTCCTTTCAAAAGTTTTGGAAAAGGATACGACCTCTTGGTGGCCGGAAAACACCAAATTCTGACCATTTAACCCACTCATTCAAAATTACGTCCCGTCGAAGCTATTCCGCATCTTGTGAAATTCACTGAAGCTGATTCTGATAACATATGCATATTCACCCATAAATTTGCGAATCGCGAGAACCTAAGTAGTAGTGATCGCGATAAGTTGCGATTCGATTGGAGAACGTACCGCGATTTTACCGACATCGGTTTATTCCAATATTATCGAATAGAAAATTGCGATTTCATCGCGATTTTTTCGAACAAAAAATCGCGAAAAACGAACGCGAATTCATAAGCAAGTAGCACAGTGCAACGAAATTATTGAAATTAAATTGCAATTTGGTTCCAATACAATTGTAATTCTTTTACCATTAAATTTCAATATTTTTACATCATTTCGTCAATTTATGCCGATTTTGAACGATCAACAAAATGAGCTTCATGTGTCAGTAAGATAGGCAATATGCAATGCAAGGAAAAATTTCAACTTATTTCAACTTCATTGCGATAAGATTCAATAAATGGGGCCCCTTCAAATAGGAACTATGCAACATACACAACACTCGGTGGAATTGCAATATCTTTATTATGCAATCCCTGGTAAAAATTGGCAGTAGAATCTGCGTTCCAAAGTACCATAGACCTACAGCCGGCTGTAAGATTTCCAATAGCTTCTATAGCCGGCTACACAATTACTTATAGCCTTTTATAGCCGATGGCGATTAAGCAACAGCCAGGCGACAAAGTGTATGCTAAGCGTTACTAATTACGGATGCTAGGACTTAGTGAGTTTTTGGAATACTGCTCTCTTTTTGGGCCGTAGTATCTTGCTTTATTTTGCGAGGAAAGCTCCGTACTTTTGATGGATGCCTGCCATTACTAATATATTAGAGCACCTTCAGTTTCGTATGATACTGTGCAATACCTCTGGTGTGAAATAGTTGCTTCAAGCGCCGTGGCACGCTGCGGCGCGGCAGGCGGGCAGCCAGCGCGAAACGCGCATTGGCGCCTACAAACCTAACAGGGATACTTCACGCGTTGCGCAATGCGTGAAGTATCCCTGTTAGGTTTGTAGGCGCCAGTGCGTCGCCGCTCCGCTTTATGTTAGGCTCTAATATTTAATCTGGCGGAGTCAGCGTTATTCAACTGATGACTTTGAAATTTTCGCACATCCTGTATGGATTATTCTCATTTTAATTGATGATGAAAAATATGTATTAAAGGAAAATATAATGTGTGTTTTGTAAATATTGGTGGTTCCGTATCAAACTTAATGATTTCCAAAGCACACGAATTTCTACACAATTTCTTATAGCCTTTTATAATCGATGGCGAAAAAGCAACAGCCAGGCGATAAAGTGTAAAGCCCGGCGACAGGAACTATAGCCCGGCTGCATAATTTTTTATCGCTTCGTATAGCCCGGCCGTATGATTTTCTCCGCATTCTACAGCCAGCTATATGATTCTCTGTAGCCTTCTTTAGCCGGCTATGAGAATTCCTATGGTATTTTGAAACGCAGCTCTTATCGCCAATTTTTACCAGGGATTGCTACTATATTGCAAAATGTGCTACTTGGGTAGGGATTAAATTGCGACGAGATTGATAATAATCGCTCAGATGTGATGATCCTAGAGATTCTATTGCCGAAAAAGTGTAAGAAAATTGGAGCTTAATTTCTAAACACCGCGATTTTTCCGTTGAAAAATGCTACGTAGGGAAATACCAAAGAAAAAAGAAATTCTATACTTTCACCGCATCGAAATGAAAATGAGGTTCGATTAAAGCGTCGGTGCACGAAGGTCCAATCGCGACATAAAAAAAGACGGGCGCCAAGAGCAGCGAAACGGAAAACGCGTCGACATGGCGGATAAGCGGAAACAAAAGCAACTGGTATCCTTTCTACATTTGATAATAATTAAATGCTGCCGGGAGACAGGCAGGATAAATTAAGCGCATTACAGACCCGAAAGATACAAATCAGTCGTGACGAACATATGACCCCGCGCCAAAGCTCCGCCCCGGAATCGCCCTTAAAAATCAAGGATTTCCGAACGAACATCCGTCGCCACTGAAAATAAGTATTTTGGCGCAAGACGTGGCAACCTCGCGGCGAAACAAGGAGGGCCAGGACCGTAGCAGAGCTTAAAGTTTTGATTCGGCGAGTCGCTCATGTCAAGAGCATATTGTTCGGAAGTCAACCCCTCCGCCCACCCCTCTCAGGGTCCTCGAGCGGGTGTGGAGGGGGTTGCGTTGCCTCCCGCTGAAGGGGATGTTCAGTGTGTAATTTCATTTCATTAGCATTCATAGGCTATTCCGTTCCATTGATTCTCAAATTAGCGCGGCGCAGCCTCCGCCCGCGCTGACATGAATATCTCCGAGCGAGCGGGGCGCTTGTCCAAATGATGTAGTTGCACCAACGTAACGTATCTATCCCGCCGAGTGGTCTCCCGAGTAACGGAACCTCATCAAGACAGGATTTAAATAGGGCTCGTCTCATGTTCGGTCGAGTGGAATTCCATGGAATTTAGAGTATTGCCTGGGCATATAATTATGCAAATAGAGAATTTTCAGGTGTCTGAAATTTGATGAATTTCGCGTTTAAGTGAAAATCACTGAGTGAACTGAACGCGAGGATACCTTTGGTTCAACAATTGAAGGATTATTGGAGAAGATATGGCAAAATGATCTAATCTGCTAAAATACATGTGTTTAAATGGGAAATGCTGCCAGATGATGTCACTAGGCGGTGCATTTTCTTAATTTTAAATCTATTCTTATATTATTTCCCATAACAGAAAAAATTACAAAAAAATACCGTGAAATCAGCTCTTTAAGCACTTTTAGATGAAGCAATAAAAAAATCGCACGCAAATTCACCATCGGAACTATGAACTCATGAACAGAGGCTGAGGAAAAAATAAGGCTCTTAAATCCTGTCAGGGGCATGGAGGACAAAGCGCGTAAGTGCAGTTTTTGAAAAAAATGAGATATCAATTATTTCAAGTAAATATGGTTTGAGTGCATAGTCTGCGAAAAATTCGCTCCCAAATTCCAATTTTTAAGCATCGAAAAGTCACTTTGAACTTTCTCGCCGTCGTTGGGATCTATGCAATTTCGAAACTTCAAACACGCATTTCTCGAAATAGCAAAAACTGCGTTTATGCGCCTTGTTCTCCAAGCCCCTCGTATAATGTAGGTACATTCCTTTTGATTTAATTCATTTGTATTCAGTTCCTTTTAGCATGCAAATTCCCTATCGGTGGTTTCTAAATGGAGAATTAATCTAAGTCAACTCTATAAAACCTTCTTCATTTTTCTTTTCTGCGCGAAGAAAATTCTAGAACCTACATGAGCAGTAACGTTAATTTGC